TCAAATTTCTTCAAAGGCGCAAGCCTCAAAACACCTATTTCAAACTAGCTGGAAAGCATGTTGCTGGGAATGCTTTAGGATGAATGACCTCAAAATAGATTTTCCTTATCAAGTCCTTTCATTAAATTGCCCAAAGCTACCCTCTTTTCAAGAGGTTACTCCAAAGCTTGCTCCTCTTGTTGGTCACATCTCCACTACACAAGTACAGCTCCACTAAACAACAATCAGTACTTCCATTCAGTTCAAATACACACTATACTCAGATTATATAAACACAATTATATTCCTTAGAAGTTCATGAATATTTGAACACCACAAATGAAAAACATCATAATTGAAATCATGCTTTGCATACATCTTCTTGATAAATTCGGGAAAGCTATGCTTGAATTTATATTTACAATAGCATGGTTATATCTTTGAGAAATAAAGAGGAAGAAAAAAGAAAGGGAGCTTCCTGGCCATATGAATAAGAGGTTGGTACACTCAGATAAAAATATTAAGTCTGAATACTAAAATACAGCAATGAAAGTGATTTAACTATTTTGTTTCGAAAAACATTCTTAGACTGATCTTCTCTGCTTTGGTTTTACTTTCACTTCTCAGTACTATTTTCATAAAAATAGCTACTGATTTTAATGAATACATTATGCATTGTATCTCATATTTTCATAAAAAATCTTATTTAAGATTCTAAAAGTTATTAATGATACAAATATTAAAAATATATCTCCCAGGGGTAAGTGCTATATTAGAATTCCTGTTTGCTTTAAGGATCTCTGAGAGGTTTACTACGAAATGAAAATAATAAGGTGAAGAATTTGAATACGTGAAAAAAAAAAAAAAAAAGAAAATCTTCTGAATTTTATTTAATTTCAGACAAAGGAAATTTAAAGACAGGTGAATTAGTCCACATAACAATCTTCTCTCTCTCTCTGTGCATACAAAATCTATTCAGATAAAATATACTTCCAGTAGTACATTAGATGTGTAAAATATCGTAGTTTTTAAGTTTCTTTGGCTGATGGTTTTTCTCTGTTAAGAGTGGCTATTTCTTCATCTAAAATAGATGAAGGATTAAGATATGTCAGCAAATCCTGATTAAACTAGCTTAACATTTCTGTAAGCAAAGGAACATAAAAAAGGTTCAGAAGGTACAACTACAATCTACTTTTAACTGACCGATCACAAGTAACTTCTGAGAAATATCACATTGTAACTGAAACAAAAAAATCATGCAGATAAGCTAAAAAACGCTTGCATGATTAATTACATGCTATTTATATTAACAAATATATAACATGTTTAGTACTGTTATGAAACACCATAACATTACACAAGTTTCTGAAAGAAATATATGACTACTATGACAAAAAACATCAAAAAACCAAGATAAAAATATTTCAGAGGAACCCAGGGTAGGAGGAACCTTTCTTGGATATTAATTCCAAAAACTGTCATGAGGAGGACCCATGTTAGATAAAAATTTACTACAGTAATGTAGATAGCCAAATACTATTGGCTGTATCCTGCATGGTTTGCAGGTTTTAGGGGCACTGATTTACCTAGAAATAGGATCAAGTTATAAAATAAAATCCATCTACGTCCCTAAAAGCTGGATGCCAAAGATATTGCGTCTTTTCAAATACCATTCTGCCAGCTCCACTCTCAAATCATCCTCATCCTCAATCCTGATAAACAAATACATGCTCATTACAGTAGCCAACAAATAACACTTCTAATTGAACATAAACGAAAAAACTGTTAACTCCTTACTTCATAAATAGTTATACATGAAATATTTTGAAGATTTATGACTCTGTTAAAGCCCATAGTCTTTATTTTCCAGTCAGAAGTAGGTATTCTGTATAAATTTATCTGTTATTTTTTTTCCTCTCGTATACAGAAGGATCGATTACAGTAATTCTTAAGAAAAAATAATCATATTTCCCTGAGGGTGAGCTAAGCAAACACAAAGCTTTTTCTCACCTCTGGGATAACAGTCCCAATCGAATGCCTTAGATTAAATTATTTTGCTGTTTTGAAATGTGTTGGTTTGGTGGTTCCCAAAGGGCAGAGACAACACGAATCAAAAAACACAAAACACATTGGTAGTACTGTCTTTCAGCTAAGAAGAAAAAATACCCTTCCCCTCTTCTGTCCATGCTCTAGCGTGTTTGGTTTTGCTGTTTAATACTCAGCAAACTGGGTATCATTGTCAAGCCAAGCTAATAAAATCATGTTTTAGTTTAAACTATGTACAAATAATTATTTTAATTATAATAAAAAATATTTAATTATTACTTTAATTATTAATTGTGGGAGGCTGCTAAAAGTATCCTTTGCCTAAACAGAATTAAACAATAGTTCCTAGCTGGAAAATCCATGTGACATTAAGAATCTGTCTACAGGTATAAACATCCCCAAATAGTATTTATTCTGTACTATTTTTTCCAATGTAGTTATTTCCATGTAAACTGCCTTGTAAACACTTGAGTTCCAGGGGAAAAAACGTTTTTTCCTGAATAAGCATAGTACAAATCTAGTAAAACAAACATTTCAAAGAGAGAAATTTCTTACCAGAAAAGACTCTTCACATATGAGCTCTCATTCAATTCAGTGTTCAATAACATCTGCTTCAGTAATGATACATGTATAAATTTTGTTTGATTTAATAATTCCAATTATTTATATATAATAGACATCACTACGGAATGAAATAAGATGAAAAAAATCTTACCAATCTTCACAACTCCGATCCCTTATTTTACCCTAGCCCAGTAACTCTACTATTGTCACTTTGGTAGTTGGTTGATTCTCCTTTCCCCCAGCTTTCCTTGCTGAGCACAACGCCAGAGGGTCTAACCCTTCAGTCAGCTGGCATCAGCTCTGCTGACTGTGTATCCACACAGCCTCTTGTGCATTCCTAGTGCTTAAGCTGGAGGTCAGCACAGGAAACCAAAATATAAAATCTTGGAAGGGATTCAAGAAATTGACATTTTTTCAGACTTCATTGTAAATATTTTTAAAACTCACAGCTCCCAAAGTTTACTTTGCATATTTTCACTTTTCTCTGTTCTACTGAATTTACAATAAAAACATATGCTGGAGATCTGTCCTGATAGATGCAGAGGCACAGAAAGGTATAAGACACATCTTGTGACAAAGAATATTTAGGCACACGAAATAACTGTCTTAAAAGACTGAAGGATTGATTTTTTATTCCACATAATGCAGAAGCTGTTAATCTGTCTTTTTAGACACTTTTAGTCACTTTAGCATTCCTGCCTTAAATGTAAAATGGAGACAGCTGGAGTAGATCTGAGTTGTTTTGAGACTGAAAGAAAGATTAAATTACAAACTTTATAGAACCATAGAATCACAGAATAATTTTGGCTGGAAGACACCTCAAAGCGCATCCACTTCCGAACCCCGTGCCGTGGGTAGTGCTGCCCCCCACCACCTCAGCTGCCCAGGGTCCCATCCAAACTGGCCTTGAGTGCCTCCCAGGGATGGGGCACCACAGCTTCTTTGGGCAGCTGTGCCAGGGCCTCATCGCTCTCATAGTGAATTATTTCTTTTGAGCTGCCATAGCCAAGCCATGAGAGAAGTTGGATGCACTTTCGGAGAGCAAATGTAGGAGACGGAAACACTGCTGCACAACAACAGCTGGGAGAGAGGGGTGAGATATGAGTGAGAAGCGGCCACACAGGCAGCCAGGTCAGTGGAAGAGATTCTCCAGGCACGGAGCATCAGCTCCCTGCGGTCCAGGAGAGGCTCACGGAGGAGCAGGCTGTCCCTGCCTGAGGGAGGAGATCGTGGTGGGGTCGGAGGGCTGGAGGAGCTGCCACCGTGGGGACCTGTGTGGAACAGTGCCTGAAGGGTGGGCCCTGTGCTACAGAGCTGTGCAGGGGTGGCCTGTGGGAAACCCAAGCAGGATCTGTTTGCACCAATTACTTACCTTTTTTTTTTTACCTTACAACTATCTATTCCCTGGTGGTTGTTTTTTTTT